GTCTGTTATATCCGTGCCTTTAGCACTAATGTCTTTTGCCCTCTTTACATAATGACTTTAATTGCTGGATATACGGCCCCTGAGCTGTTGACCTGCAGTAACTGTGGCCCCCGGAGTAATTTAGTTGAATAGCTCTGAATTACATTATCTTTACTTTTTATGATAATTWTCTACCACGATATATACCGTTACCGTGAAGGGATTCGATTTATACCGTGATATGAATTTGAGGTCATACCGCCCAAACCTACTACGATGCACGTTTGGTCCCCACGAGGCTGCTTTTTCTGGAAAAATTGTCCCCACGATGTAGGAAAAACAAGGCGACACACACACACGTATCCCTTTGCTCAATCTGCAAGCTGTCAATATTTATACTGATCTTTTTCACTGGTCAGTCAGTCAGGAATAAACATGTCCTACAAGTAAAGGTGTCCATCTGGAGTTGTAGTTTCATTTTTGTAAATCTGTCAATATAAAACTCTAGTGGCTAAAACAGACTTGGGTTCATGAAGTTTTATTTTTAGGCAGCATTTGTACTGAGAAAACACCTGAAAAGTGTTGTTGTTGTCAGAAAATGCTGTCCATAATGTTGTATTGTAGAGTTGACGGTTCATCAACGTGACGTGAGGCTTTTCAAAACGTTCCATTTTTTTTAAATGAGTGTTAGCATAATTTAAAATTCATTTCCTGTTCCCAAAAACGATGTTACTAATAAATGTATAGTTTGTTGTTGGCGTGTGTTAATTTTTTACAACTGGATATTGTCTATTTTTGAATTAGAGCTCCAAATTAATCCAATTTCCTTTTGATCATATTCCATAATAAAAAGTGCCACTGTGCAGTGGCTCGTTCACTACATCTAATTATACATAATTAATTAAAATGTTCTACCACAGTACCTTTAAAAGTATTTTAAATTAATTTTTTGTGGAGCTTTTGCCTGCAGATTGCTTTAACGGGATGATCACAGTGGTGTAACTCAAAATGAACTCAGAAATAATTACTTTGGTGTTTAGAGCAAGAAAAAAGCGGGTGGCATTAAGGAAACCGGAAACSTTTTGGCCTTTAGAAGAAGCAAAATCACCCTTAAATTATTGAACTGAAATTAAGATTAAACATTAGGGCTTTGGGCTCCGTTCAGAACCTATCTTGTATAAAAAGTTAGTTTAGTTCTAACAGATGATCTCACTGCTTTTTGTAT